TTCCACGGCAGCCGGTTGCCCAGCCAGCGTGCCACCCACGACACAGGAGAAAATCATAATACGGTGAGACGTTTTTTTTTAAATATAAATGATTTTGACTTTGACTTTGACTACGTAAAATAGCCTACTATACAACTTCATCCGAGCCGGGTATTAACTCATCGAGTACCGTCATTGTAGACACAATTATAGAACAATAGGTTGCGGTCACCGGTGACCGCTTGGTGTTTGACAGTTTAAACACACGGCATTGTACTCAACAGCCATCGCTTCTAACCACGGGACCAAACTCAGTAATCTCATATGTCAGTTATAATTATGCTGACACTCTTAGCATTCAGACCGGAACATTCGCTTAGCGGGTGGAATACTGTCAGCTTATATTAACCATACACATCATAAATATCATCGGTTATATCCATTGAGTGATGGGCAGAAATATTTGTCACATTCACATCAACAGCCTACCTCTATAAATGCCCACTGCTGACCAAAGCCCTCTTCTCACACGGAGAAGGTTTGAGCATTAATCACCACGCTTGCTCAATGCGGGTTGTCGATTTCAAACTTATAAAATTAGATATTATAAGCCCAGGTTTCCTCACGATGTTTTCCTTCACCGTTTGTCAGTAGTGTCTAAATAATCTTAGAAAGTACATATAAGTCGGAAAAAGTCACATTGGTACTTACCGTTGGTAGGTTTCGAACCCTTATGCTGGAAATGTTTTTAACGGACTTCAAAAAATGGAGGTTCTCAGTTTGTTACACTTTTTTTTAAGGGGTGAAATCATCGAATGACTGCTCCCGCCTGGGTGAGGCGGGAGGGAGTGTCAGACTCTTACTGACTAAAAACCATCCCGTTCCTTCTCCTGCACGTCGAGCCGGAGCCCCGGTTACCCGTTAGGTTCTCCGCGACAGTTTGTTACACTTATTTATTTATTTTTAGCCATGATCGTCCCATGATGATAATGTATGGAGACATTCAGATACAATGTAAATTGTTTATTGAATAAATGAAATGAAATGACTGCAGGGCAAAGGCCTCCCTACCCTCCTTCCACTCCTCTCTATGTAAAGCTTTTTGCGGCCAATCCTTGTCATAGATGTCTAGTTCGTCCCGCCATCTCCTTTTGGACCTGTCGCGACGTCTACTGACGTTGAGTGGGCTCCACTCAGTAGTAAGTTTTGCCCACCGCTCGTCTGACATGCGGCAGACATGACCAGCCCAGTTCCACTTCAAGCCTGCGGCTTTATGGCCAACGTCAACGAAACACACTTAGAAGGTTTTATTGTATTAATTAAACGACTTCAAATCAAAAAACAAACGGCTTAAGTCGGTTTTTTTAAACGTAGTTTATATTATATTTATTTATTATTTATTTTCAGCCATGATCGTCCCACTGCAGGGACGATCATGGCTCATCCCAGTTTATATTATAAGAATTTTTAATTTATAGAAAAAAAAAACAAATTAAAAAAAAAATTATAGAAAAAATATTTATAAATAAAAAAAAATATTATTAAAAAAACAAAATACCCGACTGCACACTAAAAAAAGAGTAAAACAAGCCCCACAATAATATTGATCAATCAAATGCTAAAAACTAATTATGTAATACCGTTTAAACAATACCTATATTAAAATACACTACAATATGTGTTCGTAATCGATAGTTAAATAAACAGAAACTTATTTTGAATACAAATTTACTGAATATAATTTATAAATGTTGATGGAATGCATCGCAGGCGGGGACCAACAGAGGCTTATTTATAGTCATTTCGGTTGTGCACCATTTAGCAGAATTTTCGTTGGTGGCGGTCAAGGTGGTCCCCGCCTGCGATGCTTTCCATCAACATTTATAAATTATATTCATTATTATATAAACAATATTATTATGTCTTTATCCCGTGGGACTTTTAGGATAAAATGTATCCTATGACACTCCCGTAATCAAGACAAATCTAACGATACCTCATACATCAAAATCCATCAAGCCGTTTAGGCTACAGGTGGTCACAAAGGAAAAGACATACATACATACTTACATACACTCGAAAAACATTACCCTCCTTCTTTGGCAGTCGGGTAAAAATAAACCCTCACTATTATTATATGATGTCTGTCATGCCGAACTCAACTTTATTAAGCATGTCAAACATGGATACGACGAGCCAAAATGGTTCAAGGGAATGGACGAAATACTATTGGGATTTTCGGCTATTCATTTCTTTTAGGAATTGTGTCCCAACATGGGAATATGCGTGAGGATATGAGTGTCTCTATAATAGGATCATCCCTATTATGGATGTTACATCGTAGGAATAACGTTCATCTCAACCTGTCCTTTTGGGAATTTATAAAGTGTGATATACCGTACTCAAACCGAACAGACGACCTCATTATAAAAAATCATTATAAACCAAGAGTACACTAAACGAATGCAGTTTCAAACAACAATAACGATTGCCAATCAGATTCAATTGTAACCATTAACCATTCATAACGAATGGACTCGGTAAACTATAAAAACAATGAACAATTTTTTATGGTACGTTGCCAATATTATTATCGTACCGTGGAAGTGCGACTGGCGAAAAGGTCTGGGTTTCCGGCTCAGGCAAAGAATTGTTGGCGGTTTTCGGTTTTTTTTTTGTACGTAGGTACTTAATCAGCGCCGTGGGCTCGAGCCTCTGTGCCCGGTCCACGGTATTAAGCTAAGCTCCAGCCTTTTGCGCTGCGACGCGACGCACCATAATAGGCTTATTTGTGTGTTCCTAAATTCTTGTTGTGTGTCGTAGCAAAATATACGGTATTTTTTTCTTTCTTTCTTTCAAATAAGCCTTTTTTTAAGGTGAGATAATCATCGAATGGCTTCTCCCGCCTGGGTGAAGTGGGAGGGAGAATAACACCTGTATTGACAAATTAATATAATTAAATTGTAATTAACCCGTCGTTTGCCGGAACGAACGCGAGACACAATGCATTTTCTATTGTGTCTTATATACCGGCAGTCAAGAGGATAATAAATAAGTATTTGAATCCCGACCGCCGAAACATAACTCCCACTCCTTTTTCTTTCACGAACAACCTAATAGACAGTAGATAGTAAACATATTTACATTGCAACAAATACAACTTGCAACCTGTTACAAATTTTCCTATTTGTACCTAAAGTTAGTAGGATATGCACCTCTGCCTACCCCTTGAGATTAAATGCCGTAATAATAAAACATGACCTATTGCACAACACCGGACACATTCCCATTAAGCATTGTATTTCGAAAAATGGCATCACAAATTGAGAAGTCGATCATTTCGTTCATGTATTTAGTAAGATAAATCGATTATAGGTACCAATCCGATCTCGATTGTAAAACGAATTGTAATAGTTTTATATCGATAGGAATTAAAAATAGACGTAGGTATGTAGGTATAATGAAAATATTCACAATGTTTATTTGTTCAAGTTTTTAAAATTAAATTATGTAAAAAGTAAAATCCCATTTAATTTATTTTTATAATAACTATAGTGAGACATACGCCATCGCCGCGACTGCGCACGCTGCTCGTGAGGAAGAATCCCTCTGTGGTTCGAAACTAGTAGAAGTATATTACGTGCGTAACCCGCGATTTTTAGTTAACTCATTTTATTTAATTAATAAAAAATATACTTACAATCGTTGTGGATGTGGACTCATTGACTAACGAAATTATATTTGAAAAAAATCTACTGATTATAGGCACAATACTTTAGTTGTTAGAACGTCGACACGGTGAGTCAGAGGCTGTGATTTCGGAAGCCGTTAATGTCATTATTATTTTTTGAAACTGATTTTTGAATAAGCAAGCATATGCTATCTACTTTCGGAGTCGCGGAGAACCTAACGGGTAACCGGGCTCAACGTGCAGGAGAAGGAACGGGGTGGTTTTTAGTCAGTAAGTCTGACACTCCCTCCCGCCTCACCCAGGCGGGAGCAGTCACTCGATGATTTTCCCCCCTTAAAAAAAATGCTATCTACTTATATTAACTAAAAGAGCATTTAAAGCCTACAGAATTCTTTAAGCTATGCTCCACACTAGGATTTTCTCCTGTGTCGTGGGTGCGTTTACAAACATACAAGTTCACATACACATGACACCCAGACCCGGAACAACAATCTGTGGATCACTCAAAGAGTTGCTCGGCAGCCAGTTGCCCAACCACCGCGCCAACCATACAGTCAAACCTATAGTCATATAATATAATTTTTTTTTAAGGAGGGAAAGTCATCGAATGACATCTCCCGCCTGGGTGAGGCGGGAGGGAGTGTCAGACTCTTAGGTACTGACTAAAAACCACCCCGTTCCTTCTCCTGCACGTCGAGCCGGAGTCCCGGTTACCCGTTAGGTTCTCCGCGACAAATAATATTAAGTAGACAAATTCAATACAAAAAACGATGAGTTTTGAATTTCATATGTGACACCGGTTAGTGACGTCATCAACAACATTTTATGTCAACTGACACAGTCATTAATTTCACTTTCATTGGTTCGAAAACTAGAAAACCAGGTTTTAACTTTTAAATAATTTACACAAGACATAATTATATCAGTAAATGAGTGTCATTTGATTTCGATAATATGTATAACTCATTTTTAATTAGATTACGTTAACGTTGGCCGAGTGTTTGCAAGTGCGACTGCCGGGCAAGGGGTCTCGGGTTCGATTCCCGGGTAGGACATAGTATTATCGGGTTTTAAAAAAATCTCAGTCGTTGCACAGAGTCTGGAATTGTGCCCGGTATATGGCAATAGGCTCGCCCCCTATTACATGGGACTCATAACATGAATAGTGAAAAGTGGGTGTTATATTGTGCATAAGTGCCGTAATTATACCTCTGCATACCCCTTCGGGGATAAAAGGCGTGATGTTATGTTTATAATTAGATTATGCTGAAAATACTAATGACTGTTGAGGAAGCGAAAGAATCGTAGCAATTTGCGTCTCTGCCTACCCCCATGGAAGACCAGCGAGAGGTTATGTATGAATTATGTGATTAGAAACAATTCATTACTGATTGTAGGAGACATTTCTATGGTTATATAAAAAAAAATACTACATGAAACTCACAGTACATCATAAGTAGATTAACACAGAACTTTTTAGGCACATTGTCCTCAAAATGAATTAAGAGAAGGCCAATACTAACGACCAATAAGAAAGAAAGACACAATTAATCACAATAGTTCGCGTGTTCATGTGTCCAGTCACGAAAAATAGTTAATTTCACTTATCTATACACACGCACAAATTACTCCTTACACTCACTTTTACTTGGAGACGGTTTAAACTTAAATATCTTGTCCAAATTCAGCGTATTTTGGTTGTAGACTGTATGGTCTGGAGTATCTCCCCAGCTGACGGGCGTCATACGGTCTTTTAACTCAGGAACTGCCTCTGGAGGAGTAGCTTCCACTGTGACTCCTTCAGGGATAGGGTTCAAAGCCTCTGAATGGACGCTGGAAGTATTCTCAGGATTAGACATGCCTTCTAAAGAAGCGCAACGGTTCAAGAAATTCATCATTCTCTCTTTATAAAATTCAGAGCTCGTCTCAGTGTTTTGTTTAGCCTTACTGTCTTCATTTTTCAAATAAAATCCGTTGTCGGATTGCGCTAGGAATATCCTTTTGATTTTTTTGCTAGGATAATGGTCTATTAGGTCGGGTTTAGGAGGTAATAGTTTGCCGTTGCGTGGTATTTTTCGTGTATCATTACCTTTTATTTTCGTGACTACAGAAATGCAGTTGCCTCTTCGTTCGTTGTCATCTTTGTAAGTATTATTCATGCCTTTATAAGCTATTTTGACGCTTAGAATAGACCATAGGAATTCTAAAAACGCTGCTATTAAAATATTAATAGAGAGCACTCGTTTTGTAAACAAATTCGGCGTTTCTTCAGGTTCAGTGCGAGTGTTTAGAGCAACGATCATATGTGATTCGTTTTTAGTTATAATATCGCTGTGTTTGACAACAAAATAGTCTTTGAAAGGCACCTTATCCTTGTAGAACTCTGTTATATCTCCGTCTGATGTTGTTATGAACCAGACAGCTATCATTATAAAAGAAGTCAGAGAGATCAAGGAAGAGAGACATGATATCGCGAACAACAAAGTAATGTTGTGATCTATGTACCACCGAACTGAAGCCAGAATGCTCGCTACTCCTGCAGCCAAACCAAATATTGTAATCAAAGCTGGCGCTAGAACCAAAATATAATTACTATCCGTCTCATTTCCGTTAAATTCCGTTGTTCCATTCGAATTTAACGGATTTCCGTTGACACTTGAATTTAAATTCGTTTCGTTATTCGAATTTATTTGTGTCTCATTTTCGAAATCATTTTCGTACAGCGAGCCGTTTGTGTTTTCATTTTGTAATAATATTGGCGTGTTGTCGGTTCGGAGTTCGACCGTTTCTTGTGTGTTGTTGTTTAGAGGGTGTACATTGGAATTCGGGCTGACTAACGCTAGGCAGGCGAGAAGAAAGGACGTTGCAGCCAATGCGATATGAACCCACGCTAGCCCCGACACTGTAGACGCAGAGTACCGTCTCTCCGACGGATATAAGTTCCTTGTATCGGGTTTCGTTTTAACTTTAATTGTGTACACGTCTTCCATTATAGCTAAGCAATCATTGTTTACAACAATTTCGAAGTTATCCACAGAACAATGGATATTTAACAGTGATTTTCACCACAAAACACACTTGAAACCACTGTTTAATGTTTTACGTTTCACTTATACACATAAAAGTTACTGAGAATTAAAGTTTTTGTATTATTTAACATTAAATAACTTGTTTTATTGTGTTTAACGCGCGCGACGTGACCATCCCGGTCGGCCGTTCGGAGTGCACTGAAGTTAGCTACAGAAAAATGGCCGATGCTAACCTCAGGCGCGCGCTGCCATCTTGAAAACTAACTCTAGACAAATTAAAACCTTATTTCGTTGGGAAACGGGTTAGAATATAGTTTACATAAAGTAAAGAACTGGTTTTTAAGTTTGTTTTGTCTTGAATGGTGTATGAGTGCACGCGATTCGTTTTTGCGATTAATCTTCCTTCGTTGAAAGTGCATTGCTGATTGTTCTATCGAAATAATTAACTGAGGTGGGAACGCAAATCATATGCTGGCTCATAGCTGACTTAATTCAGCGAAGATTGTCATAATACGTTATTTAAGATAAACATTCCATTGTTTTAGGATCAAATTACAAGATTTAGAGCGTGTTTTTCTCAAGTGAATGCTGAATCCATTCTTAATTTAAGTTTTTGAATCGTTAGTGCCAACAATAGGTACTGATATTCAGAATCATTTAGTGACTGTCATTTGACCGACAAGAGTGGTGATATCTAATATATAAAATTCTCGTGTCACAGTTTTCGTTGCCATACTCCTCCGAAACGGCTTGACCGATTTTGATGAAATTTTTTGTGCTTATCCTGTATCTATGAGAATCAGCCAACATCTATTTTTCATCCCCCTACACAGAATATCTGTCCCCCCCTTTTTTTTAAATCATCGAATGACTGCTCCCGCCTGGGTGAGGCGGGAGGGAGTGTCAGACTCTTACTGACTAAAAACCACCCCGTTCCTTCTCCTGCACGTCGAGCCGGAGCCCCGGTTACCCGTTAGGTTCTCCGCGACAAATTATTAATATTACCTTGTACTCTCAAACAGGTAGGTACTTAAGTTATTACACAGTTTTCTTCCTACCAACGTGGTAAGAAAACCAAGGATGTTAAGAAGATGAAGATCAAATTCCTTCTTAATAAAACATTATGCCGTGGTATTAGTTATTTAATTTTATCTATACAGGTATATGTTATATATGTAATGATAGTATCTGCTTGTAATATTAAAATAACCACTTTTTACTACATGCTTATGAATACATACAATACACATACCTACCAAAGTAACATTTGTCTCTTTGTTTGTCGTTTGTTTGTACCGGTTAATCTCTTGTGGTCCCTCGATTTGCAAAAGTAAAGTAAGTAGGTACTTTTATTTAGGAAAATTGAAATAACAAAACTTATATATTTAATTTGTAAACGCACCCACGACACATGAGAAAATCGGAGAGGGAGCAACGTTTAAAAAAAAGAAAAAGAACTATTTTTTAATTTAAACTCCGATAATCACAAATGTCTCAAATGAATTATATAAGGGGCCCCGCCAAAACACGCTACGCCACTACGCTAGCCTAAGCCCAATTCTTTTATCATATAGGTAGGAAGCAAAGCAGCATATGGACGCTCTAATCCTCATGATAAGCGATTGGGGTTTCCATTCGGCACCCGCAACACCAGAGGAGTCACAGGTAAGTTGTAGGATTCTTCGCATTCAACATCTGCTAGCCACACAACGGACATCGTCACTCCACCTATAATTTAGATCCAAGTATACCTACTCAGATATAATAAATAGCACTGCCTCGATGGCCGAGTGGTCGCAAGTGCGACTGCCGGGTAAGGTATCTCCGGTTCGATTCCCGGGTCGGGCAAAGTATTACTTGGTTTTTAAAAAAAAACCTCAGTAGTAACACGGAGTTTGGAAATGTGCCCGGTATACGGCAAAAGGCTCACTACCTAATACATGGGACTCATAACATAAATAGTGAAAAGTGGGTGTTACTTCTGTGTGCACCTCTGTCTACCCCTTCAGGGATATAAGGCGTGATGTTGTGTGTGATGTAATAAATAAATAGCAGAGACAGTATACCAAAATGTTAACTAAATAAGCATAAAACATATTCAGTAATTCTTTAATCTCTCACCTCGATCTCAAGGCGAAGATCTCAATCGAACGCCCTCAGCCTACATTTTAAGAAAAAAACATCTGACAACTGAAGTTGGAAGGTATACATCGAGGTCAAAATGAAAAGCAAGCATAAATTGAAAACCTCGTCAATCAATTTGCTTAATTCAGGAATCGAACCCGAGAGGGGTTTTTTAAGGGGGCAAAATCATCGATTGATTTCACCTGCTTAACTCGGGAATCGAACCCGAGAGGACTTTTTTTAAGGGGGGAAAATCATCGAATGACTTCACCCGCCTGGGTGGCGGGAGGGAGTGTCAAATTCAAATCAATTTAATGCATATATGTATATAGTGTGTACAGGGTGGTTTACAATTTTTGACGAAATATGTTCCAACTATAGGCCCTTTTGGGCACCGCAAAAGTGAAATAAATATAATAAATACTTACTCTACTTACAAAATAATAGAAATCATGAATATTACCTATTTAATTGATACAATCATTTCGTTATTTTAAAATGTTATATAACTATTGTTAAGAATTTGTTTAAAGTTACAAAACAAAAATTAAAATATTTAAAATATGTCAGACTCTTACTGACCTACTCTTGCACTTCGAGCCGGAGCCCCGGCAACCCGTTAAGTCCTCCGCGGCTCCGTACCGACATCATCTACTGTGCCCCATCCGTGGTGGTCTGATGGCTCTTTGAGGTACGCTTACGCTCGGGTCTGGAAACCTGAGAAGACTGAATGTAACACTTACGAGCATACAACGCAAGCGTTGTTTCACGTCGTATGAGTGAGGTTACCGGAGGCCCAATTAAACCCCCCTCCTCTTCCCCAATTTCCCCGGTCCCTGAATCCCCAATAATCCCTAAAAGGACGGTAACGCACTTCTAACGCCTCTAGTGTTGCGTGCATCCATGGACGATGCCGATTGCTTATCATCAGGTGATCCGTCTGCTCGTTTACCGGCCTATACCATAAAACATTTTTTTTTTGGCAAGCGGTTCGGAGATCACAGTATAAAAAGTTCAGGTGTATTAGAGAGCGCTTCGGAATCTGTCAAATATGTAGTCCCTGAGTCGGGTATACGACACCCGCGGGAAGAGTAGCGGTGGTGAGAATTGTATTACTACTCTGCTATTACCGAACGGCTCAATAGCTATGAAACTATGGTATAAATACCGGTCCATGGTCAATCTTACTTATAAGATCACGTGTCTACTTTAAGGTCCATAACCAGTGAATTTCTTTATTATGGTTTCCAACCATATGAAGTCAACCATCACGCCTAAATTGATTGGAGCTTTTTCTAATATTATTTTATGGGATCGGGGGCAAATGAGCAATCGGGTTTCCTAAGAATAAGCTATATATTAATGAACTAGCGACCCGCCCCGGCTTCGCACGGGTGCAATATGCATGTATTATACATATGACCTTCCTTAAGATTCACTCTATCTATTAAAGAAACCGCATCAAAATCTGTTGCGTAGTTTAAAGATCTAAGCATACATAGGGACAGACAGACGGCGGATAGCGACTTTGTTTTATAATAATTATTATATTATAATAATTTGTAGTGATTAGCTTTAAACATAGTTATTTTTATACTATTAGACTTTCTTATACATTGAATCGGGTAGATGCATAAATTTTATTTTAATGTCCGTCTGGTAGATTCGTTTAAAACTTTAGACGCGTGTTTTTTTTCTTTTCTCACAAAATTAAATACTTTCGACGATACATTAATCTGAAATATCGTGTGACGTCACAATGCGCTACATTTTGTACCACTTAGTGACGTAACGACCTCCCACTCCTAAACTTAACTCCATTTTATCTAAGTATTGTAACTTTATAAGAGAAAATAAAATAATACGTGTCTAATATTTTTTCATTGTCTAACTGACGGACTAATTAGATTATTGTAAGGTTAGACATATTTTTAGACCCTGCATCTACATTTAATTTCATATTTTATAATTTTTAATAGTAAAATAAGTTTCTTAATTGGTATCACAAAACGAAATCATTAAAAAAATAAAATGACATTTTTTCAATGGGGAACACTTGGACAATGGCGGCATTAGGAGCGAGCTCACGGAACTGTACGGTTGTGTAAGCTATACTCAGTTGGAAATAATTACCTAAAGAAATAAATATTGTTTGTCTGCTGGAGATCTTGGTGTTTTCTTTGGAGAGGAGTCTTATATCTCAGAAGTGGGATACGGCGCAAATACTGCGTAAGTACACGTCTACTATATTTTTATTTTTGTGTGTTGTTTTACTTTTGCCGTTAGCCATTTGAATTTAGAACTGACGTATTGGATATTTTAACCCAATAAATAATTATTAACATATTGGTGGGCTATACGTGATTAGGCTGGCTAGTCTTAATTAATTTGATTTCAACGCTTTGTGTCTAAGCTCTTATTTATTTGGTGGCTAAAATAAAGATGCAATGTCGCTCTCTAAGGTTTATTTTTGGTTAAACCACGTTTTAGTTCATTTTTTGTCAATCCTCGTTTTTATAGAACTACCCCAAAAAAAAAAAAAACGGTAGTTTTATAAAAGAGTGCGTTTTTCAATTATTTTTTGCAATCATAGCTACCGTTTTTGAGATATTTACGGTTTTATCTATTCATCTATTCTATCATTTTGTTATCGTGAATAAATCTAAGGTGAGATAATATTTTTTTTTTGTGTTGCCAGACCAGACCATGGATCCCACTGGCAGCAAGACTCAGCACAGGCTGGAGACGCCGGGAAGAGAATCGCGGAGAAGCAGCCACACTCGCAGTCGAAGCAGGAGTCGCAGTCGCCGTCTGGATGAGCGAGAGAGGGCTCTCGAGAGGGAACGGGAACGGATCCGGCGTATGGAGCGAGACCTACAGCAGGAGCGCGACGAAGTGCAACGAGGGAAGCGCAGCGGGTCACGTCGCAGCGAGCCTAATCGGGACAGGCCACGTCGGCGCCGGTCATCGGGCCACGCACGCAGCGGGTCTCGGAGCCAGCAGCCATCAGCGCAGCACTGCAACGACGGGCACCTGGACGTCAACCGGGAACAGCA